TTGTGACCAGCAACGTTACAAACGTTTGATAGCCTGGCCAATCCAGGTTTTTAATGTTATTATTATTGATGTTGTGATTATTGTTATTGTTATGGTTATTGTTTTTATAATTATTGTGAGGGTGGTTTTCAGTTTGCATTTTTATTCGCAATTGATGCAAAGAAAACGATTTGGTTAACGCTTCAAGAATGTATTAATCAACGCCTTATTGTGCCAAACGTTATGAAGGTATAATTGAGTTATTTTCATTTTTACATTATTATGGATAGAATAATATGATGATGGTAGTAATAAATGATATATATTCAAGATACTCCGTCGATTGCCAGCCGTAGTCGAGTTGAAGTTGGAGTTGAATAAGGTGGAAAGAAGCACTTCTACACAGCAAATTCCATTGATCACATTAGCGTTGAGGTGAATGCTGCTTGCTGGCTTCATTTCATCACATTCATCCAAATTAATTGAACAACTCTCCACAAATATTTGCTGTGTATTGTTTCAGTAGTTTATTTGAATGAAGTTGATAAATGAAATGATATTTGAGGTGAATAGAGAAGAAAAGGAATAAAGGAAAACACAATGAACTTTGCAGGGAGCTTGTGTTGAGTCGTAGTGTGTGGCTAGAGAATGCAGAAACTAGTTCATGTTTTATCTATTTAATTCAGTCATTGGTCAAAGAAAGATACGCTCAAGTGAAGCCGAATCGAGGTTTGTCTTGCGATTTTTGTAAATTTTTTTTTCGTCAGAGATTTTAAATTGAAACAATTTTAGCGTGTAATTATTAAAAACGATTTGAAAATTTGTAATTATTGATATGATAATGTTTGATCAGTCACAACTTGAACTGATAAGGTGAGCGATTAAGATAGCGATATTATAAGATTGTTACCANTGATAATGTTTGATCAGTCACAACTTGAACTGATAAGGTGAGCGATTAAGATAGCGATATTATAAGATTGTTACCACTGTCCTCAATGATTTCAAATGTCTTATGTCAGTCTTATTTATTGATAGCATAATGCAGTTATGAATGCAGTTGGTATTAGTTTCATTAATAATCTCATCGCATTGATTGTGATAATAATATAATACCGTTCGAAAAACTTTATAGTCGTCAAATCTGAAGGAGTTTGTTGATTTCTCTTGATTGATAATTAGTTCAGACCCAAATTTTAGTTTTTTTGAAATGTTTTTGATAATAGTGCTTGAAACAAAGTTGACTTGCTCTGGAAATAGATTTTAAATGAGGGGTCGACAAAAATCGGTTACTTTAGCTGGTGGAGCATGGTAGGAGGCTGAGATTGCATAGTATAATACTTTGGTTATGCTCATTACTGCTATAAAAATATGATTGAAGTGATGTAAATTTGATTTTAATTTGAGAGGAACAATCAAAGCGGAATGAGAGTGCTGATAACAAAGAGGAGCAGCAATCGCAAGAACATGAAGAAGGAACGACGGATAAGTCAACGCAAGATAAATCATCGAAAAAATATGGAGAAGTTTTGGATTGTGCCGTGCTGAATAGTTCAGAGCTGTTAATGGATTTGATATTGCCGTGGATGTTCGCGTCGAATGGAGCCGAGATTGCGTTGGATTTATTGGCAAGGATACTGGCCGATTACGAGACAAAACGCACTCCGATTGAGTGGAATATTGAGATTCGTGAAGGTTGGTGATTGGATACTTGCAAAAAAACAGCTTCTTAGCGTGACCGGTCATTCTGTCTAAAGACATTGCCTAATGGACAGTTTGCCTAATTTACGGTTATTTAGTGGATATTTCGCCTAGTAGGCAAACTATTCCTTAGGCAAACTGTCCGTTAGGCAAAATGTCCGTTCGGCAAATTATCCGTTAGGCAAACTGTCCTTAGATTAAATGACTTTAGACATATTGACCGGGTACCGTTTCTTAGAGTTGCGTTCTCTACGTTTTTCGTTCTTGTTCGATATTATGTAATTGCCGTCGTTGATGAAGCGATGACATTATGACGGTTGTTCACAATAGTGAATGAATTTGAAGTTCTTCTGCCGTTAGTCATGTTAGCGGAGGTTTTATTATTCATTGTTTTGTATTGATTTTGTTTTGTTGCATTGTTTTTGTTTAATTGAAGCAAGTAATATGCAAATATTTAAACGCGAATTGAAAATGGAAATAGATAAAGTGTAGTGTATTTTTGTTTATTGATCATCGGTTGTTTGTTTGTTTTTGAAATCCGCTTGTGATTCGCATACTTTTTTAAAATTTTAGATGATCCGCAAAGAGCCAATTTATATGAACGTTTCCCAGTGGCATTATGCATTAAACTATTGGTCGATATTGTTTGTCATTATGGGAATGACGATGATGGTAATGGTGGTGATAAAAATGCAACGAAGAGGGACAGAAATGAGAGTAATGCTCTGGTGGTGCAGAGTCTCGCGTTGAAATGCTTGGCAAATCTTGGCGAGAAATTAAAACGTTCGTTCGTTCGTTCACTTTTCTCTGAATGGTTCGCGAATTTAGCGATTTTGTTTTGAGAATTTCTGTGTGATTTTTGTTGATGGCAATTTTGAGAAATTTCCATCTTGCGGTCCACTCATTCACATACGAATGACATCGACAGTTCTTAAGAAATGTGTTGAAATTCAAGAAGAAATGCTATGGAAATAGAAGTTGTAGAAAGTAATTCTTGAAATGAGCTATCGTGTAATCTCAAGCTTTTCGGGTCACTTCAACGTTCTATTGGCTAAACTTTAATGCATTGAGTGAAAGCATAAGATGAGTATTGTTGAATGATTTTGTAAGATAGTGTGCTCATCTACCATTATTTTATCTTGCGTTCCACTCACTCACATACGAATGATATTAACATTTCTAAAGAAATGTGTTGAAATTAAGAAGAAATGCAATGGAAATAGATGTGTATAAATTATTATTATTATTATTATTATTATTGACAAAAATATAAATCACCTGCGCAGTTAAGAATAATACGATGTTCCTGAAAATGGCATAAAGCCGAAACGTCGAATGTCAGTGATTATTCTTAGCTGCGCTGGTGATATATATGTCAGTAATAAAATATACTGTTCTGAGTCATCTACCACTATGCGCCTCATAAAGGAGGAAAGTTTCAAACAATTGGAAATAGAAGTTGTAGAAAGTAGTTCTTGAAATGAACCATCGTGTGATTTCAAGCTTTTCGGGTCAATTTATCATTCGTTTGTTTGAACTTTAATACATTGACTGAGGGCATAACATGAGTATTGTTGAATGACTTTGCAAGAGTTTGCTCATCTCTTATTTCATCTTGCGTAGTTGAAATGTATTCTCATTTCGTTGTGAAAATGCTTAATTTTTGAAGTGAAAGAAAATTTATTTGGAAAATTGTGAGCAGATTGATTTGCAGATGAAGGTGTACGATTCGGTGAGAAGACACGTGATTT